GACAACAACACCTTCGCCTCGGAAGTGACCACACTTGGTGGAAGCTGTCCCCCGAGGATACATGAGCCACAATGGTAGTGCAAGCCACTGCAACATAGTAGTGGTTAGCTCGATACACTGAACGAGGATTGGTCATTCCATTTTTTCAAAGCACGAAAAAGCGAGACAGAGGATACTGGATGCCTCTTCGAACTTGGCGAGTTCCAACGCCAAAATCGAAGCAGCCTCGGATCTAGTCTCGTTACGGATCCCAAACGTACCCGTAAGAATGAGCCTTTCAACCGGCCCAACAACGGTCATTGTTAGGGGGTTCTCAGCCGAGATCCATCTGCGGACTGGCTAGGAGCCAATCTAGGTGCTGTAAAGGAGACATCTCTGATAGATAATATCAGTGGGTAGGAGTTATGATATACAGGTAGCTCGAATATTTAGGTAGTCTCCAACAGGAAATTATGATACAAGATGTTAGACTCTACGAGTCAATTGAATAATGTTTTTTTTTATAAAGTCCTAAGCTAAAGCTCTAGGTCCACTATAGGTACAAGCCTCGTGGAGCCGGCGGGGATCACTGCTAACAGGCCCAACTCATTCCAACCGCGAGACCCGCTACAGAAAAAGTAGGGGGTACATTATAACTCAGAAGACACCTCCTACTCCGACTCCGAAATCGAGAACCCATCCTTCAACCCTAAATTCAAGTACATAAAAGATTTTCTCAGAGAAACGACACTTCTCGCATCGATCCCTTTCATTGAAAGGCTATGCTGAGCTGGAATGATGTACCGTTAGGATGAAGGTATGGAAGGAGGTAGCTATGGCTTTAAGAGAAGTAAAGTTCGTGAGTTATACTCTTAGGACTTGGATCAATGGACGAACTTGAGGATATTCCCTAGTATTCTCAAGTGTGTAAATAATATGGAGATTGTTTGAATTTCCTATTGTATGAGTTGCTTAATTTATCTACGTGATAGGACCTTCTTCTATATACATGAATAAGGGGGTTCTGCACACTAGTGGATGTTCCAACATCTGTCCTTGTCTAAGCGAGAAAGGAAGGATGTGAGAGATCCTAGCGCCAATATATACCATTAGGAATCTATTGGGAAATACTATGTCATACCAATGAGTGATGATTTGGGTCAATCATATCCCATGGCGCATGTGCACATTATTCTAATGTGAACAGTTTATTGTAATGCAGTCATGTTACTCCCTTAGTTACGACAATAGGATGGGGAATTTGATAGTCTAATTAGCCAGAATTACAAATAAGTTTGATTTGTGTTCATTATCCTGATTTGGCGCCCTATGGGCCCATGCAGGTGGCTATAAACCTATCTATATATTTACATAGGAGGAAACCTCTCGGTGAAAACCCCCCAAGCTTTCTGATTTAATTCTTATAGTTTGCAGTTTATCCTTCAGGAAGTACAGTTACACTGTGACGCCGTCGATGTGTACCAATCACGTCCCTTCTATCGATCCCAACCTTCCACATGTTCCCTCTCGTTCCCTCAGCTGCATTTCGACTGCATTTGTCAAGCGGAATTGTTCTATCCAACCATGATTAAGAATCCATCGTGTGATTCTTTTCATATCGCTAGGATTGTTGGTCATTGCTTCAAAGGAGCGATTTCGGGCTTGTCTCCAGATTTCTCCTCTACCAATTGACCACTTGGGGCAGGACATGATCATGTGCTTGGGATTTTGTGATTGGTAGCCACATGGACAGCATGGATTGTAGACTCCTGGTACTTTTCTTCTATGCAAATACGAATTGAGCCCGATATGCTCGCTTCGAATTTGGATTGCTAAGCTACTTTGGGCCCTCGTCAGGTTTTTGTGGAGAGAAAATGGCGACTCCCGGAAGCTTATTTTTGTACGTCCAGAATGGCGGCATTGGTAAAACTTTGCTGCTGCCCAAGTTTTAGGATCTGCTGAAGCAAATCTTTTAGGCTGTCTATTACAAATAAGTTATTCTTGGCATTCCAAGATATATCATATTTCAACACATCTGCCTCCCGCGCGCGCTTCCGCCTCTTTGAAAAGTCAGGTCTGCCTACAAAACTCAAGTCTCACTGCAAAATCGAGCAGTGTCAACGCAACCTCTGCCGCCACGTGACTCGTGGCAGCCATCGCGCTCCGGTGTGTGTGAACTGCGGATCAACAATGCACTCTGAACCAGAGCACGAAGTCCTTGCCGGATGTCGAAACTGTGGGGGACCGCCCTGCTCGGATCGTCGGGGCTGCCTAGCCATAAACAACAACTTCGGTCTGGCGAACAAAGAGCAGCGTGAACTCATTCGCCATATCAAGCACGCGAGAGTTCGAGAAGCAGCTCAGCCAAGAGCTTGAGCGAAAAGATCAGATGAGGCGATTATCGCCTCGACCAAGGACGTCTTCATGTCGGGCAGATGGAGCCTTGGAGTTCTGGTGTCAGAAGAAGAGGTTTGAAGGCACAGCGACACTGTTAAAGTCTTTTTAGGCATTACTTGCTATTAGCAGGATACCGGCTGTGTTGTGGGTACCCGCTGGCCCATCCCTTGCCCTCATCAGACATTGGCAAATGTATCATGTGGAAGACGTGACGGACGAGGGGATGTAGGAGGAGCGCACTGCCTGGGTCCAGCCAGGAGGAATCTTCGATATTTCCGAGTCTTGTTTTCGGCTTCTTCAATCTGCTGTAATTTTGGCAGTGATTCACGCGCCTGGAATGCAGGGGCGGTGAAAAGGAGCATAGGGATCCCCGCCGTCACCACCGGATCCACACTCATAGTAGGACGTGGAGCTTAAACTTGGGCTCAGGACATTGAAACAACAATGACAAAATTGCCTCGTGGACCGACATCGTCGGCATGCTAGTCTCACTGAACCCGGCTCGGTGCGACTACTTCTCCAGCATGTTCATGGAGCATACCTTTGACAAATTTTCAGAATCGACGGCGCAAGAGACGCCCTATGGGCTGCAAATGCTGTGGTCCACGCACTCGTACTCGGATTGCAGATTTCGGAATAGAGGCACGGCAATGTCAAACTTCTGATGGGACACTCGGGCTGTATCTGCAACGCATCTACTAGACACCCGGTAGGAAAGCATGGTCGGCCGAACTAGAGATGGCCTCGACCTATCGACCAGTCATGTCTTTCCGAGTGCGTCCCATGCCTCGACGGCCCCAGAGGAGCCTGCCGTTCTAGTAAATAGATACTGCCCTCCTCCACCCCAATGTAATATCCTTGAGTTTTCAAGGTTGTGATATCGGATTTACAAGGTTTTTATGCGTAGTAAGGGCCGGCACAGTCGAATCTCCACCTTCGGGTGGTGCCGGTTTAATGGCTCAGTATGCTCTGCATGGCTGGGATAGCCACGAGGAATCGCATCCGAATCGAAGTCGAAAGCAAACACAGACACATTTTTAATCGGCAACTTCTCATCGATGTCGCTCTTGTCATTCTCACGAGAGTCCCAGACCTTGATCCCTCTACACACCACCTCGACTCGGCGACCCATGAAGGCGTTGCTCCAATTGCAAACAGGAGCTCGCCTCATTTGTTACCGACCATCACTCACTACAAATTTACGACGCTACGCAAACGCGCGACGAGGAAATCAAGTCATAATATACAAAGTTGGGGTCTTGGTTTGTGGGGGACTGTTGCTCTAATGGAATTATACATCTTGAGGAAGAATAGGCGGCTGAGATTTGGAGCAAGAGGGGTAACAGGTCTCTGAAGGCCATGCTGGGACTGAAATTTTCGAGGGGTTTTCAACTTTGAAACGTTTGTGGGCGCCATCACCGAGATTTCGGCTAATTAGCCAGGACTTCTATTGTTGATGAGTCAACGGCACTCCTCAGCGCCCTGGACGCTGCAAAAGAAGTTGGGCTAAGTTACCACACGGCAATTACGCTCTGTCAAGACTTTTGTGACACTTCAGCACCACCTTGAGAAGGAGGCTAGAAAGGCAGAGGGTGAATTTCCCGAGGTGCACACAAGTCTGCAGCGCCCAGCTGGCCGGCCTCTTCGAACGCTTCAGAAGGATCACTATGCCTTCGGATTTAGACCTAATGTCGGTATTAGGAGAGCTCGGCACCCAGTGATTTTTGCGATTACTCCCGGCTACCATACCCCCGCTAAGGGCCATCGTTTTGTTGGCTGGAGAGGGGAGATAAATAAGGGCAAAGGGCTCCTCTAAGTTTATGATCGAATGAGGACTTGTGAGGGGTGGCACTATTTGAGCGGAGCTGTGTGGGAGACATAAATATTCTTGGCCTGCTGGTAGAGAGGACCTACATGTCCTATATAGTCATAGACTCAGACAGGAAGATAAAATGAAATAATATGCGGAGCAAGGGGTGGCCTCTAAGATCTCAATTATTTCCGGCTACGATTGTTGAGCTTCAGATTGATAGGTCCCATGGCAGAAAATTTTGAGCGGATGAATGATTGATCCAAGGAAGATTGGCAAGGTTTTGATGTGGAGTTCTGGGAGGTTTGCCGACCAGATTTTCACAAATATTTTGTTCTACTCTTAATGAGAACTTGCTCCTCCCTATCTACAAGAGAATAATTCAAATATAGCTAGTTTCTTTTAGATAGATTCCAGAAGTCCTCTATAATCATAAGCTCAAATAGGACTATGATAAAATCAAATCTACTTTTGGACCAATCCACACCGTCTGTGTGGTTTATACTCAAGGGCTCTAAATGAGAGTCCTAGACTCGACATGTAAAAGTTTGAAAATTTTATTGAATTAAAACATGCTATCTAGTATACGATGTACAGTAATAAATGTATGTATAGGAAGCCCTACCCAATATCTCTGCATATGTTACTGTAAAACTTTGAATAGATATACAAAGTGCTAACATCTTAAGAAATTCCTGGTATATTTGTAAATTACCGCTAATCTGAACGCCGATTATTTCTGGCTCAACCACTGACCGAAAAAAGGGTTTTGGTATAATTGATGGTAGTAGAAGTAAAAGTCACCTTGAATGAATTAAAATTGGATAAATCGCCTCATCCTACGGGATCTCTTTTTCGGCTTGTCTTCCCTTCCTGGAGCGAGTGATAAAAGTGCAAAATGACCTCCGACTACAGGCCTAGAAGCGAAATGCGTGACGTTAATGGCAAAGTCACCAGTTTCGGTGTCGTATAAGTCAGTAAACCCGACATTTGTGGGTGTTGCTCCAAGCCATTTTGCAAGATCACTGATGAACAAAGCTTTAGTCTCGTCACTTGAAATCGCTGCTGTCCACATTTCCCAGTCACTTTTAGTGTAGGCATGTCGTGTATCAAGAGGCACTCCAAATTGCTTCTTGACCGTGGGATAGAAAGCTGATTGCATGTCGTAAATAGACTGAGGTACAAAATCAAAGTTTAAAAGTGAATTGGCGTAGAGGTTGTAAAGTAGGCCGTGAGAATCATTCTGTCCATATGATAGAGTGGTATGAGGAGGTATTGCGTCGTGTGCTACTCCAAGGGTTTGCCACCGGTTCAGATAATCTTTAGCGGTAGCGCCGTAGGAAGCTGCATCAGCACCTTGGCCAGTCATTTCTGCAATGACAGACATAGCCTGAATTCCGATAATTCCCTTTAGCGCCAAATTGGTTTGATTAGCGAGACTCCCAGCGAAGTCATCGGTTGATATCTGGTCGGCTGGAATAAGTGCCTCCTGAACAAGAAACCCTGTCCACTGCTTTAATATATTGTAGTGCTGTGCGAGATATTGTACATCGTTAGTTCTTTGAGCGTAGGCCAAGGTCATGATTAGCATATTTCCGCACTCTTCCAATGGCTGAGGCTCATCAAGACCATCAGCGTGGCCCGTCGCGTTCGGAAAGTGGCTACCGAGATCATGCATAGAGGATGTTTTTGGATACTGACCACTCTCTTGGTTCTCAAAAAGAGGATCTAGCATCAGCTTAGCCAGTGATGGTTGAAGGTACATGATTATGGGATAAAATGGATAAATGACGTCGACAGTCTGGATATTTCCATCCGAACTAATTTCCTTGAGGAAAAGGTACTGTTTGCTCTGTGATCCCACCAATTGAGTAGAAGCAAATGCCTGGCGCGTAGATAGCGATGTGATTGTTAGATAGTCCTGACCACCGGCAGCAATAGAATCTGTTGAAATTTTGTTGTCAAGATTCTCCGCAGTGGTGCTTGCTTCCTCAAAATCGTTGTAGAAGGAAGATACCTATCGGCAATTAGCAAGCGTTCACGAGATGAACATGTGAACTTACGGCGCTTGTTTCAGACGGGAAGAAACTCGTCCACAATGAAGGTAGCGAGACGATGCCTGTTGCGCTAGCGAACTGCATGGCTTGATCTTGGGCTAGACCAATAGTAAACAAGACGCTTTGTGAATCTGTAACCGCGCCAAGGTTAATAGAGTGGCCAAAAACGGGAAAGTCCCGATTAATCGGACGAAAGTTGGTGTCCTCAGTATTGTCAAGATTTCCATTATTAATAAATGCGCCTCGCACAATCTTGTCGGAACCGGATTGGTGGGTGAGACCATTTCTATTTTTCGTAGACCAGTACCAGTTGCCCCAATCAGCTTGATCAGCAGTCTCACTGAATAAGAGCTGTGTTTGCCTATAAACCTTGTGATAAGAAATTCCATCGTCGGTCGAGCCGAACTCCCATTGTGCTACAGAAGAGTGATCCCCAGCGACCCACTCTGAATTTTGTCAGTTTATTTTTCGGGCACGATACTAAAAATACTCACCAGCAGAAATATCGGCATATAATTGCACATCATGGGGATTCCCATCGAGACTCGTAACTTCAACGTTGAGATAAGAGAATATGAGTGATTGACGTTCGAGATTGTCGGGGGTGACAGGCGACAAAAAGGTCACTCTGAGCTCGATCTTGTCGGCTGCATTCATGGTAAAGATGCTCTTCGTCGAAGTATACTCAAATGAAGTTTGAGTGACCGATTGGGGTCCAGGAACTCCCATCCACGTATAAGCTGTATTGTCGACACGAATCATTCCAGCCCAGCCTAGCGTCTGTCCTCTACAATGTCGTCAGTAAAAGTCTTGAAGCGTCTGAGAATCATCATACGCCCAAAACTGAGGCCATTGTCCAGCGAGGTAACCCTTGGTATCTCCAGAGTTTCCAGCAAATTGCAAAACATTCAAGTATGGCGAGCTGACAGCTAGCGGTATAGCTGGAGGCCGAACTGGCATGAACGTGGACAAGGCAATTATTTGGCCCATAAAGAAGGCATTGAGAGCAAAGAGGACCTTGCTCATTGGCCTCATTTTCGAAGTTAATTAATAGCTGGATCAGAAGGAAGGCGAAGGACCTCTTAATGCGTGAGTTGCGGCTTGGTTAGTGAGGTTGGCTAGGCAGGAGTCTCAAATGAGCGGATTGGTATGTTCACAGTTCATATATAATTATAGATGACTCTATCGATTTGTAAAACGAAAGTTGGGGTGTAGGGAGCAGAAATTAGAAATGAGATGAAGCATAAATGAGTGTACAGTGAGGGATGGTTAGTCTAGACGGACATTGAGGGCGTGTTGTGCGAGGTAGCAAGAGGTTGGAGAAATTAAAGTTTAAATAAGTGTTTAGACAACTGCTTGGACTGAATGACTAGCATCTTGTCGTGGATCGGATGCCGATGTAATCCACCGTTGTGCTGTTATGAATCTAGAATAGAATACGCCAGGCTTGGCACGTGTCTCAACATAAATGAAGAAGATCTGACATCAAACGACCGGGTGACATGGCATAGCTCCAGGGGCTTGGGCAAGAAAGTGATGACTGTTATAGGCACGGATATATTGGATAAATCTCCCTATAGCTAGGCCAGCTAATGAGACCGAGACGAAATAGCCCTTGAGCAGCGCGAGGAAGATGTGACGAGTGTGCAAGCACCTTGACGTTGACGGCAAGAGTTCCCCAGTACGGCTGGGACAGATCTCTCTCTCACTATGTCCACGGCGTGAGCTTGAGAAGAAAGTGAAGGCTCGTATTGTCAGGTATGCGAGATGGCACAATAGTTGTGGTATGCTGGCGCAGCACAGCACAGCACATCCAAGGGGCTGAGGTTGTAGACCATACGCGCTCCAGAAGGGGCTTTTTGGCATCCAAGCGCTGGGCTCGCGAGAAGTAACACGTGTGAAGGGCGCACACCGCGTAGAAGTCCTCTCAACCTCCACATAGATCGGCAGAGCCAGGAGTAGCTGTGTGTGAGAGGTGGGCCGACGAATGCGCACTGATAGCCGGGGTTAGGCGAGATTATCGGTCCCGAATTGGTGGCACCATGGTTGGGCTGGGCCAAGTAGTGGTAACAGTCGCGCTGTTGACGTTGGTCGCGGGTGGACGAGGGGGTTTCAAGCTTTGGCGAGCAGCTGCCACATCATGTGATGAGATGGCACAACTAGCCCCGAAGGCCGCATGAGGCAGAAATGACAAGATACATTAGTTGCGTCTCGAGGACTGGTAGCGCGCCAGTTATTTCCCTGCAACCTCAGTGGATCTGGTCATGTATATGTATATCGTGCGACGGGTGCTATCCAGGCAATAGAAAGGTGCACGTGGTAGACACCACTCCTAACTCTGCGCCTGAACCCGATTCTTTCCACCACAATGCACAATGCACAATGCACAATGCACAATGAACAATTACCCGTACATGATCGGGGCTTGATGGGCCAGAGTCCAAGCCCCAAGCGAAGAATAGAGACATTCAACATGGAATGTATGGAGGACTGAGTCGAGGTTGTTCTGGCAAGGTGTTTGTAGAAGCAATAGTTAATTATTCGACATCTTTCAAGGCAATTGCGGAATCAATTGGTCATGTGATTGAACATCATACATATTTGGCCAGTGCAAGGCGTATGTAGGACGTAAAAATTAATTTAAAATTTTCATCCGGGCCGGTTGTGTTTACTATACTTTCTCAAGGCTCTTTGCTTTTGTCAGGGGGTGTGGCTAGGGTTACTGGGGTTGAAAAACTTCAACACAATCATGAACAGGCGAAGTGCAAGTCATCGCGTTAAGAGGGGCTCGACTGGGTAGCTGTAAGATTTCGGCTTCAAATGCCTTTCATGCCTCGACACCTCGTTCGTCATGCTTCCAATCGAGCGGGTAGGAACTTAAATGGGCAGTTCTACTTTTCTCCCAGAGACTGCTGGCAACAGATTGGTAGCAAGTTATAGATGCACCCTGTGCCCATGAATTAATCACTAGACGTGGTAGCCGCAGCAGCCATGTGGGGGTAGCCAAGAGGCCGATGAAGCGGTGGTGGTTGTATTGCAAACAAGCGTCAGGACTCAACGTCCCACGCGACGCTCCAGTCACCGGCCAGCATCACGCTCACGGCGATTCTAGTGGAGCCGTATGTTGAGAAGCCAGGGCACACCAGTTTCGGACGTTACAATACACCTGTCAAGCCAAGCACTGATTGACCGACTCCTTGGACGAGCCTTCAGCCACAATTCGCTCAATCACTAAACCGCAGGCGCAACATCTACGACATCAAGGGGGCTGATAGGCTTCAACGCAGAGACAATAGCACGACGCCTGCTATTTCTGGGGTGGCGCGGACAGAGAGCTGACTTGAATTTGACATCCAATCAGAAAACTGTACCATCGTCCAGTCATCACGTTTCTGGCGTTGGCTTGAGGCATCATGCCATGTATGCCATTTTGCTCGGAACGACCAACCATGAACGCATATCCCTGCTCGTCTATTTACGCTGGTCGGGGAACCCTTGTCAAGACGCACGGTCCCTGTAGGTAAGCGAATCATTATCTACTCCATAATGTGGCTGACTGGGTTTCGCTTGCTGATTAAACCTTATTCAATCTTTCCGTTCCCGCGAGGTCTCTGCTCAGACGGACATGGGAAGAATCCACAACAACGGGGTGGAGTAATCCGAGACCGTGTCTCATCTGCCACGATAACTCTCTTTTCAGATGAGAGGATTAACACACAAACTGCAGATTCCACAGGACGCGATGGGGTATTCAACGCCGAGTGCTTTTTCAAAGTAAATTTTGCGATAATACCTTTTACACATCAAGACCGCCACAACCAGACCCACTGACCGATGAAAGGGATTGCCTGTTCATTTTGGTCCCAAGGCTTCACTTGTGTGAGCGGGAGGTTCGAACGAAATATAGAGAGGGTCCACCGATCTGATGTGTGAGTTCAACAGTCAGGCGGACGAGGAGTGAAGAAGATAGGCTACGTTTAAACCTGGGCCCATTCGCCAGGAACACCCGTAACGGTGGTCAGAGCTGAGGTCGAGGGTGATGCGCAGTTTGGACGTTGAGTTCAGGGCGCCAGGCCGCCGGATCCAATCAGTACCATCGCTTACCATAGCTACAGCCACATTGGTTCCCCGGCGAAAGAGTAATGCACTCAGAGGCTGCTGGGGGAGGGGGTAAGGTGTACTTTGCATCAGATTTTAATTGAGTGTGCAGCTATCTTTCTATGACATAACATCAAAGAAAAAATACAGATCAGATGAGTAAATTGAAGAACAGAGTGCTCGAGCCTCGCATGCTATATTAAAGTGCCAATACTGTTAGAATTTAGAATAACTATGGCTATCAAGCAGGCCCCGTAGTTGATACACACGTAACCTCATATTCTGTAGTTAGTTTTGCTTCGGTAGATGCTTGAATCAATGCGCTCTACAACCTCAATGACTTAGGGGACAATGTTTCCTTGATAAATACGAGATTTCATCCAACTCAACCCTTGTCCGCGAATACGCACCTAGAGAAAATCCTCAGCAGACCCTGAATTATCCGGACACGCCTCCGTAGTCCATTGACTTATAATGAAAAAACCCATCTACTTATCTCCGCGCGAAATGTGCTCCGAGGCGTCTCCTTCCCAAGTGGAGTAGGTGCCCAGGCTACTCAGACTGTACCGGAGAACACCACCAGGAGGCGGACCGCAACACCTTCCATCGTTGGCTTGTTCTTATAGTGTCAGTTGCATTCTCGCTACCGAAATTTTGGCACACACAAAGCTCAACTCGTAAACTCCTTGCCAAAGTTCAAAATTATACACCCGTCGAGTCTGTATCCATCCGCTGCATTAACTCGTAAACTTGTCCTGATCTCTCACACGCCTTTCCTGAAGAACTATCTCCGAGGTTTTTGCGCCACGCATCGCTTCCTCCCTCGCGTGTAAAGATCGGCGTGGGCGTGTATTTGGTGGCCAGCTGATGCCAGAAAATAGTTGATGAGGTGTTGTCATTGAAATGAGGATGTGCTGAGTCATTCCTGTAAACCTGATGATGTTTCTATGGAGATTGATCTTAGGTAGAGACTTTTGGATCGTCGCCTCCTGGGCTAATTTCTTTGGTGTTGCGAAATTTGCCTGATCTTGGATCTAGGAGAATATCTCACCCCCAGGTTCCCAGAGGACACCGTGTACAGGTGTTCAGTCTTTGCCCTCCACTGATTCATGTGTACTGATGGTGTTGAGTGGTTTGGTGCTGAAGAATTGGCTGATGGAAAGAAATTGAGGTAGAGAATTGGAGTTACGCCCCAAGGGCTCCAAACATGCAATGAGCAAGGCAGTGTAGGTGCTTGAACATGAAACACCTACACGTGACATGAATGCCAATCTAGTCTTGGCATTACTCAGCAAACACCCACACCTCATGTATATAGAGCTCGCTGTAGTTACTCCTATTTCTCCTTCCATAGCCAATCTATCTTACATTCCTAAGGCTGCCTCTCTACCATTTTCATACCTCGTGATTATTGGAGTCCAATCGCAGTTTTAGACGCAATTTTGTCACATTATCCTCATGACAGCTGTCAACTTCATTCTATTAGGCTGCTCAATGCTTGAATGGATTGTCCTACACTCACTACTTTCGACGCCTAGGCTATCTCAGCCCTTTTAACTATAGAACCAGCGGATTGTCTCCTTTCTGCTCGGTACGCCAACACTATATGGGTACAGTGCGGACTCGTTGTAACCATCTGATTCCGTGCCGCTTTTTTATCGTTACAACGTTTTAGTTGGGTTGGATGGTGCAGTGGTACACCATTCAGGCCGTTCTACCAAGTATTTGTGTGTGTGTTTTATTGTACTACTTGAGTCTATGACTATCTAGCACATTGGGCTCCTCTCTGACCCAGGCCACACCTTGTACAGTGCTCCTATCCTCTTTTGTTGCTTGAAAGATCATTGATATATTCCCCTTGATGAATAGCCATTCAGCTCAGTATTTACCCGTGGAATTCAGCCACCTTTTCCACGGAACCTTCTACCCAAAAAAAA